GTAAATACTAAATATTCTTAAAAGCACTGTTCAATTAATGGGGTGAAATTTTGACGCTGAGATGTAAAAGCTGATTCTTCACACACATAACAAAATTGTCAGGGTTAGTAGAACACTTTCGTTGCATATTTGCGATGTACCTAACGAAAATAAAATGTATGTTAGCAATAGTTATACAGCCGCCTAAATGACGTATATTAGTTCAGAAAAAAACTGGACGGGATTGAAACAAAATTATTATATATTTATAATGGGGGTAGGCCAACATAAACAAAACACATCACAAAGTTCATGTGACAAAACACTGTTGACCTGTGTTATTAACACTATCCGTGATAAAAATCAAACAATTTTCACAAATATTTTTTGCTAAGCTATTACGCTAACTCCGTAGTTTCCAGCACACAGTTGCTGTTTTCTTGTGGTTTTTGTCCGTTTGGAGGAAATCCGCCTCAACAGCATACAGTCTGGTTTTCGAAGAAAACAAAAAAAAAACGACTGATGTCTTTGACAACAACCAGAATTCTTGCTTGTTTCTGTTTCTTGTTGTTTCTTTCCAAATAATGAAAACTATAATATAATCTTGAAAAAGATGTTCCACAAAGCCGTCTCCGGGTCCCCTTAATTTTCTTGTTTAAAATAATTTATGAAATACTGTAATATATTTATAGATATGCCGATCATATCACAGATATATCTGGCATGCAAGTATACATATAAATGAAAATTTAATATGAATATATTGTTCGCATTATAAAATACCTTCAGTTGAAATTAGATGAGTTTCAGCTAATGGATTTCAAAATAATACAATTTACCATCCCAATTTCTCACATACTCGCTAATAAAACACTGACTAACGATCATGAGTGCAAAGCTTAGGACTGCATGTTGGTAGTAAATGTCGTTTCTAAGAGAATGATTGAAATTTGATCAAAAAGTTCTATTTCGGGTTGAAATTGATAATAAGAATCTGCTATGAAAAAAATTTGCAAATGACATATATTCATAATAACTGCCACATCATAATGGTCTTCCTTGTATCTTAAAATTCATTATATCTTCCGAAACTCATTAAAGTAGAAGCATGAGAACAAACAACATAATCAACATATTTCACACGCCCACTAAGCTCTATTAGTATTATCACCCAATTCGAATGCATTATGATTGTTTCATCAAGAAGGGATATTCGAGTAGAGGTTACCGTGGTTGTATCGTGCTAAATTTAGATTTGGCATTACATACCTGTTTCAAATGAGCAGATTAAAATTCAATGGAACTAACGATGGAGAAATAGACGAACAAATTCTTACATAAAAGGTGGAGAATGGCTCGAATTCATTACTTATGAACGGTATTTTCTTCAAAATAAGCTTTTTTATTTTTTCAAATTAAAAAAGTTGTTATCATATATCACAGTTGAGTGTTTTGAACTGTTTGGTGATATCAGGAAAACACAAAAAACGTTCATTTTCTTCCAACAGTCGACTGTTTACTGGACTAATTTTGAAATAATTTTTATGCGCATTACATACAGTGCATTTCTTTAATGTCCCCCCTTTTATTTTTTGAACGGGTCAACTCAAAAAATTGAAATTTGGGATAATAAAATTAATGCATGAATTCTTTATTTTAAAGTGAAATTGACAGATGAAACTTTCAAGATGGCGACTGAGCGCTAAAATGGTCAATTATCGTCCATTGAAAGAAAAAAATTGAAGCGATTTTTATTTACGGTGCGACGCGTAACTTTAACGAGACCGAAAGGGGTTTCCGAATCGTCCTATCTGTAGAAAATATTTGAGGAAACTTGTATACAAATTCACAACTACCGGTAGTGTACGTAACAAAAAGACCCCAAGTCATCCGTCCATTCCGGAAGAACATCAAGTGCAAATAATTGGTGAGATGGTAGTAAATCCTGAACAGTCTACTTTTTCCGTCGCGAATGGTTGTGAGGTGTCTCCTTCTACTGTGTGGATACTTTTGAAGAGGAATATGTATCATCCATACAAATTTTAAATGGTACACCAAATAACTGACGATGACCCTGATCGAAGAACAGAATGCTGCGAAATCATGACGAAAACCATTGCAAGGCATCCTACCTATCTCCCCAATATTTGTTTTAGTGACGAATGTACACGTACATTTTTTTTACACAGACAAAATTGCCGTTATTGGAGTGACATCAACCCTCACGTATTCCTCGAAACACATATCCAATATCCAGAAAAAACTAGCGTTTGGGCAGGAATATTGGGAAACCAATATTTATTGATCAAAATTTAACAAAAATTAAGTGTATTTGAATATGTTGGAAACTACTGTTGACTCTCTCATCACTGAAATCTTCGAAGCTAATCCTAATAAATTCGATAATGATATTGTATTCCAACAAGATGGAGCACCACTGTATTACTCCAGACAAGTAAGAAACTATTTGGATACTACTTTTCCCGGTCGTTGGATACGCCGTCGAGATCCTACAGAATGACCAGTCCGTCCGCCAGATTTGACACCTTTGGACTTTTTTATGAGGCGATTTGAAGCAAAAGGTGTATGAAACTGAACGTACTTCAATATTGGATGTATGGCAGAGAATAACAAATATTTGTAAAGATATTGACGTTATTGTGTTCGGAAATGTTCGGCGTGAAATATCGGATAGGCTGTTCATATGTCAAGAAGTTCAAGACAACCATTTCAAGCATTTTCTGAACTAACCTCAAGCTTAGTACCTCATGTTATGGATTTAAATTTCAATGTATTCCATATGACGCCTAGTCGCCATCTTGGAATTTTAATCTGTCAATTTCACTTCAAAATAAAGTATTCATGCATTAATTTCTTTATCCCAAATTTAATTTTTTTATTTTCAATCAAAGTTGGAAATTATAATTTTTTCATTTATGAAATTCAATTAGACGGAAACACATAAAAATACAATGCCGCAATAAATAAGAAAACATTATATGTTAGTGGTTAATTTGAAATTAGCCATTTGTTAATGGAAAAACATACTAGACCAGAGCAAAAGCCTTCCAGAAACTCAATTACTGCATAAATATTACTTGAGAAGATTAAAAATATTGTGTTTATTACGTTTAAACTAAATTGAAGTCGATTCAAGGTACGAGGGACAAAATTTTGAGGGTTGAAAATGGGTTTTCATGATATTCTGTAATTTTTTGAATCGATATATTCAGTATAATGTTTTATGTCGAATATAAAAAATACCTCATTTTCAAACTAAAATACACATGTTCTAAAACAGTTTTTTTCAAAATTAAAAGTTTTTTTTTATTGAACATTAGGATGTGCCAAGTATTCCGTCCGTGATTTGAAAAACCAATCAATTTCTGTTCTGTTTTTCCGTTAACCAGCTGTCGCACTCCATACGAACGACAACCCTCAGAAGTTGAAACTTGTGCGAGCTAATTATTAACGAGGTCTTACCTTTTAACGTGTGATTCCTAGCATGATTAAAATGAAAGATTAACCTCCTCTTGTAATAGACATGATCAATTGTTATATAAGGCATGGATATCTTCATTTGACATGGTATTCATTGCCGATGTGGAACAATAACGACAATTATGTTTTATGTAAGCTTCAAGCTGATGAGAAAAATGTTTCAATAATCATAGAACGGGTATGAGCTTGAAATATTGGAGGAGGAAGTAACACCTCACCGTTCTTTCTAGGGCCCACAGGAATCTTATTGTTCTTCAGCTGTGCTTCAATGGAACTTGATTGTCCTTCCCTGAGCTGTTGGATACATTGTTACTTGATGCCACTATCTAACAGATACCGCTGAATTGAGGCAAAATATAGAACCTCATCGTTTCTTCAATTATTCATTTTCAGTATTACTTTGAACTGCCACCATATCACTTTTATAATAACACGTAGTTTGTTGAAACCCCAATCACGTGATAACCCGCCGTCCCGTCGATTCTTAATGTTAATTTTCTTCGCGGTAGAGCTCTTGTGCGAATATTTCGCTCGATATTGCGACAAGTGCCTACACTCGTGGGATATGAATATATATCAAGTTGCTATAGAAACCAAGAAACCCGTGAAAAATGTAATATCATTCGCAAGCTTTTGAAATGAAAATCAGACAATGTAAAGAATAATAAAACGGGAAAGTATACCTTTTCTATTATATTTTTTATTTTTAATCCAGGACTGCTAGACTTTTGTTGTAGACTAACGAGCCGCCCCGGCTCCGCACTGGTGCGAAGCTGATACTTAATATAAGTTCACCTATCGGAAGTTTAAGGGTATGGAGAAACTACGGAAGCGCAGAAGGGCCACATATTTTTATTATTTGCTTCTTGGAAATTACGACTTTGATTCTCGAAATTTCGACTTTTATCTCGAAATTTCGACTTTTATCTCAAAATTTCGACTTTTATCTCAAAATTTCGACTTTTATCTCCAAATTTCGACTTTAATCTTCAAAACAGTCTAATATCAGAATTCAACTTCGTCAACAAAAACCACAAATAAGTATTAAAACTGCATTTGAAAACATTCGACAATGGGATATAAATTCAGAAAAGGCTAAGGAAATTCATAAATTAATTGGTGAAATGATAGCTACCGACAATCAACCATTTTCCATTTGTTCGGATACTGGTTTTACACGCTTATTAAAAAAAGGATTTCCTTTATATTCCATACCATCAGACAAATATTTGCGTGAAACTGTAGTGCCAGACATTTTTCAAAAGTGCAAATCTCGTGTACAGAAAATAATAGATGATGAGATGATCGGAAAAATGTCTCTAACATCAGATATATGGACTTGTCAATACAACAATTGTTCTTTTATATCATTGACGGTTCATTTTTGGAATAAAAATGTATCTAGTCACCTAGAGTCATTTGTTCTAGCTTGTAGAGGTTTTCCAGGCACCCATACAGGTGACACCATATCTGAGATGCTTCAAGGTCTGTTAGACCAATGGAAATTGAAAAAAGCCAAATTCACCTCTTGTTGGCAGATAACGCCTCCAATATGAAAAAAGGGATCGTCGGCGCTATAATGAAATATCAGGGTTGTTTTGTTCACACTTTACAATTAACAATAAAAGACTCCATTGATTGCCAAAGGGCAGTAATAGATGTTATTGCCAAAGCAAGGAGAATTGTGACTCATTTCAATCACTCTGCAACTGCTTGTGATAAACTCAAAAAGCTACAAGAACAAATGAATGTCCCAACAAAAAAACTTATCGAAGATATACAAACCAGATGGAACTCAACCTATTACATGCTGGAACGATTACTAGAACAAAAAAAAGTTATCAGTATTTATATCTTGGATAATCCAGATTTGACAGACCTAACATTCCACCAATGGGATTTGGTTCAAAAGCTTATCAACCTTTTACAACCCTTTGAGGAAATAACTAAACTCTCAAGTAACAGGGAGTGTTGCATATCAGAGGTGATACCCCTAGTTAAAACATTAGATTCGTACTTGAGCAACCGTTCAAAAAGTGCCATATTTTCTGGTGTAGACACATTGAGGAGTGATCTACAAAAAAACTTGGAAAAACGATTCAACCATATTTTTACTGAAGAAAGTTTTACGCTGGCCACGTTGTTGGATCCACGTTTCAAGAACAGTTTTTTTGACAATGAAGGCGGACCAATCTATGAAATATTAAAAAGAAAAATTACTGTTCAAGAGGGAGGCAGCGGCATTATCGAAACTATTACGGATGGTGAAAGTGATGGGGAGGACAATATGCCACTAGTAAAATTGCTAGCTATGGAAAGGGATTCAGGTGCATCAAAGTCTGTGCATGATTTATTTTGGGAATCTTACGAACATTTTGCTGGTGAAGGCACATCAGGAAGTTCGAAGCGAAAACGAAAACAAAGGTCTGCTTTTTTTGAGGTACTGGATGATGAAATTAAATTATATCAAAGTCATTCAATAATTTCCAGAAATAAAAATCCCGTTCAGTGGTGGAACGACAATAAATCAAGATTTCCCAATCTTTTTCCGTAGGCTGCCATATACCTATCTGCACCAGCTGGAAGTGTCCCCAGCGAACAAGTTTTCTCTGAAGCTGGTAATATTTATGATGCAAAACGTAGCAGGCTAACACCTGATAGGGCAGAAAGCTTATTGTTTTTGCATCACAACCTACCAAAACTAAATTATCAGTATTAATCAGTTATTTTTGTATTTTAGTAAGGTGAAATAATTTTACCTTATAGTTGCAATCCGCATAGGGTTTTATTTTATTAATTTTTAATTACTAGTCAAAGAATTTAGTTATTTTTCAAATTGATTTTTTTCTCAATAAGAAAATATATCGGTCTATCGGCTTTTGATATCGGCCGATACGATAATCGGCCAATGAGGCCGATATCACCGATGGCCGATATAAATATCGGTATCGGTCGATCCCTAGATAAAAGTCGTAATTTTCAAATAATAAAAATATGTAGCCCTTCTGCGCTTCCGTAAGAAACAGTGATGGAAGGTTTATTTTGTTTTATGGACATCTACAGCATAAAACGAACCTACATACAAAATTTCAGCCTTCGTAATGGGCTCACTTAACAAATTTTTTTTTATTTCATAATTTGAAAGTTTATATTTCAAATAGTACATCTGCAAAAAATCGGAATTTTCACTCTTTATCTTCCCCCTCAAAATAATTGTTGAATGTGGCGTTCACCGAAACGGGGCGTGCTCAAGCTTGACGTCACATCAGTCAACTCGGCGACAAGGGAGTGCTGGCGGATTAGCGAAATACGTGTGCTAAAGCCGTAGAAAGCAAGTTGTGTGTTGTTTACTGCAGTGTGTCAACTGCGTGAATATGAATAATAATAAAAAATGACGTTACAAGTATTGCATCGTTCCTAAATGCAAGAATTCTTCGGTAACTGCACCAGGCAAATTTTTTTTTACTGTTACAAATGTTATGGCAGCGCGCTATGCGGAGGGCCGACTTTGTATCTGCCAAGGGGACGCATGTTAGTCAGGGAAGCTATAGATTACGCTGTAGACGACCCCTCTCGATATAGACACTCTGTCGAATGAGGCCTCTATGTCCTCCGTTAACAGATGAATAATATCTTCATCCATCTCACCCCAGCCAGGTAGGGGTACACCGCGAAGGGCGGTACGGATGTCTGAGGACATCAAACATCAGTCATGACCCATTTGTCTCTCTGACAAAAATCAGCCCAAAGGGTAAGGGAGCAAGGCTCCAGCCTGATTAAAACGACGATGACCATCGGAGGGGACGCATGTAAGTATGAATGATAATGAATAATAAAAAAAATTAAACTTTACTCTGAGCACTACCTTCAATTTTAGGTTAAAACAGACTTAGAAAATTACATGTATATCAAAACTATGAAAGTGGGAAAAATTATATTGAAACCAGGAGTAATTCTGCATATATTTGATTGCCAGATTGAACGACCGACAGCCCATACATCTAAAGCTCCACCGTTTGTTCAAAAAAAAAAGAAAAACAAATTTTGTTGAATACTTGTAACGAAGATATCGCTGAAAATCAAATCATGTGTGATGAAGCAGGTACACAGGAAAAGACCTTTGATGTTGGAATTCAATTCTTAATGTGCTTGGTAGCAAATTATTGCAAACATCTATTGCTTTCTGAACAATTTCTGGAGGTGTATTTTCCAACTCTAAATCTCCGTATTCCATTATAAATCTGAACTGTTTATACTATAACAATCAACAATAAAACTATATTCGTTGGCAGCAATAAATATGCAGTGCTTCAGTTTTGTTGTTATGGAAACGCCGACAATGGGCTACTTGAATATTGCACGCGAATCGTCGGTGTAGCGTTGTCAACATGAAGAACGTGTCATATCAATGTGATGTAACAATTAATGACTGACTTGGGTTATCGTGATAACAGTGAGAAATTATTTCTCACTGTAATGGCGGATATTTCTCACTGCGTGAGAAATATTTCGTTTTGAAAACGTATGATGCATGCGTATGAGCGATGAGAGAAGTGGCACATTGTATAGCATCCGTAGAAAAAGGTGATTTTCATATGTTAACGCACTACTTAGTGCGCATCTAAGACCTAAGAAGCACCTATATACCAATTAGCTTCCTAGGACTCACTAGTACAGAGATGTATGAATTAATGTGTGTGATTGACTTTCGCATTTAAATATATATTGAATTGTAATTGCGAATTTTTGATTGGACCTTTACTTTTGTGGTGAATGAGTTACAAACATTCCGAAAAAATACAATCATTTTATACTCGATTTTGCATTCGTTTCAGAATTTAAACAAACTCATCCCAATATGTAGTGGACTGGCTAACTATCACATGCTTTTTGTTTGCGATTATGTTTTTCATAGAAAGTTGAATATAAAAAATATTGTTTTTCGCAGAAAAAAATTATTCAGAAGCAATGTAAATTCTTATAATGTTCTGTTTTGACAATGGAAAATTAATAGTAACATTTAAACTGGCAGGAACTGTTAGTTTCAGCCTCAATATCATTTTTTAACTAGATTTAGGGGAATCCATTTTATTCCACACATGCATTTGTATTCGATGGAAAATGGAATGAAGCTTTTATCATATGAACTCTTACCCCATTAATTGTTAATCGCCAGTATGGATTTTCTGTTATTTTTCAAGCTTTGGGCAACGCCGATGAAAGATTTATAGCGTATTATAAACGATCCTTTTGCATTATTACCATAAAATTTCCACTAAAGCCCGCATCTATTACGGCTTCTTGTTCGTTAATCACGAATCGGGTATTTGTGTCGAAATAACAAAACCTCTGATTTACGCTTTCTGATGTTGGCAATAGCCCAGTAGTAACCGGTCATTGTTGAACTATTGAGGATATGAACAAAAATACTGGCAAACACGTCCAACCTTCCTTTTTTCTATCAACGGTAAGGAAATCCAAGTACATCATTCTATTTATAACTATATTTTAATAGAAACAGACAGCACTGGATTCATCTCGATATCCCTTGTAGAATTTTACAAAAATATTTTTATTACTTTCCCATTTCAAGTCAAAATGGAATTAGGTTTAATGGAACATGATTTCTCTGGGAGTCATGTCATTGTTTTTGAATAGTATTTATTCATCTTATCGAATCCTACGGCTTGAGATTCACGATGGTTGAAAGGGAGTTTCTAGATCGCTTCTTGTTATAAGATTCAATATATAGTCACTCCATCTGATATTTCAGCCCTAATTTTGTTCCTTGAACTAACGAATCATCGAGTCCAAAAATTGTGTTTCCTGAGTTTAACCACCTTCCAAGAACTTCTATAATCGGAAAAATCATTTTTATAGAGGAATCTAGGTAACACCTGCTGGCTTAGAACATTGAATCTCGATATTTCGCAGAGTATAAACCTATTTGTTTTTTAAGTTGGGAACAAATTATGTCGGGCTCATAACTTTACATATTAGTCTGGGTCATAAGGTCCTTTTTTGGAACTTCTGTCCAGGGGCACCGAAAATTATGATCCAGGGCTCATTCGATTGGGAATGACCTCTAGCAACCTTTTGAAAAATATCAAGAGGGGCTCGAAAAAATTGCAAAATATATGAACAATTTAGTGAAAAAAAGGGGGTTTGGTTTTTTGCAAATATCTCGGAAAATATTAAAGATATCCACTCAGAATCAATATCTCTAGGAGTGCTACTATTTTTTTGCTATTTGGGATTCGTCTAACTTATCTCTCAGAAAATACTGCGACCTCATAGATTTCTTAAGTGTAGTGTTTGGTAAATATACACTTGTACAGCAGGTGATTGTGATAATGGATAATAATAGAAAAACATTGATTTCTAGAGATAACCAACAGGAGGACTTTCTTTCAGTTTGTGTCTGAAAGTTACTTCTTTGCATGATCTACACATCCATGTATAGAGTTACTTATTTTCAAATTGATTATTTCCTTCCTTTCTTTGGAAGATTCCCTCATCCTCTTTTTTTGTATCAAGATGGGGTAGTAGAAAGCCAAAAACTTTCTTTCCCAAAAAATAACCAACATGTTTTGTATTTCGTGTCTGGAACATCAAATCCCTCTTCGCCGTTTGGTAGATCAGAGTATTGAAGTTACGATCTTAGAAGGCTATACCGGATTTGAAAAAAAGTCACTATGATAGATCAAAGTATTCAGGTGGTGGAAAACTACCTCTACTTATTAACTATTTCTATGTAACCAGAAAAAGTAATATGGGCATTCATCTAAATGGTTTTCAATTAGTTGATGGTTGAAATGATATTGGATGCAAATTCCTCAGGAGGCACAACACTTTGAAAGTATTCACGTTGAGCTGATGCTCAGAGGGATTAGTTTTATGAAAACTTCCCGGCTACGCAAGGGTAGTACTGACACCCCGACTTTGCACGAATAACATGGACATCATTTCACCAATTTATATGAAAAAATTGATTTACACATAAACTCTTGAATCAATCCGAGCATTAATGAAAGCCGTATGGAAATCCGTTCGGTAGTGCTTGACACTTTTCAATTCAACAATCAACATTTTTCTTATAAAAAACTTAATTTCAAAACGAATGCTTCTCCTGGTGACATTATTCTATTTTTAGGTTAGTTACTAGTGACATTTCAGAAAAAAGCGGTTGGTATTTGCCGCCCGCTACTATTTCAAATTCGTAGATTTGGATTTTTAGTTTGACGTGAGTGATGAGAAAAACACAAAGAGTGAAGGCAAAAAATATCTGAATTACTTTAGGAAAATTGACAGCATCAGTCGTACCAACTATGCCATTAACCTTAAAAACGTAAAATACAGAGATATATAACCAAAAAGCAGCTCTGTACATTTTTTAACATTTTTTCGATAAAATGTTGATTGTGAAGTGTCAAGGAAGGAGGAATAAGGTGTAAAGGTTACCAAGTGAATAAATTCTTGTGTTTTTAAATAGTTTAAGTTGTGAAAAAAAAATGCTGAAAAGTTGCCTTTTTCTGAACTTTGAAGGGCCGTAACTTTGTAAATAAGAAAGAGTGCTGCTTTTTTCTTATTTTATTATATAATCAGAAATGTTTATTGAATATCAAAATTAGTTAGTTTCCTAACTATATTATTAAAGGTTGGAAGGTAGGTTTACTAAATCGTTTACTTGAACTATACCTATCACACAGTCATCACACCACTCTCCTCAGAGAGTAGTGCAGTACATTTTTTAATAAAACCGTTTACCATAAAA